TAATTTTTAAAGCCATTACGTGAATCTACATTAAGCTTTAAGGGTAAATATTGTAAGTCATTAACATAATTAATTTAAATCTGGTCTTTGGAAATCTAAATAGTTCTTAGCTGACCAGGTATTTTATATCACCTGTTCACAAATCTGCTTCTATTCTGCTCCATCTACTTCCTTCCTTTCCTTTTTTGTGTCCTTGTAACAAAGTATTATCAGAGTTGGTACCTCTTTGTTGGAATATGACAGGGCCGTGCTGTGAGCACTTCTGCTATGGCCTCAAACTTTCAACCTCTGGGCTGGTCAACCGTGCACCTTAGCACCTAGCCCCCACTCCATCTACTGTAGTATTTATATATCAAACAAAGCATTCAAAAAAGGATAAAAACACAGACCAAAACCTAATATGTTTGTGTAGAATACACAACTGACATCCAGAGAATAGGAACAGGCATCCAAAGGGAGAGAAACTGAAACAGGAAGGAGTATTAAAAAAATACTGTGAAAAGTATATGAAAAGACTTCTGTGAGAAAAAACAGCAGGAAGAGAAGAGTGAAAAAGAACTATTAAAATCAATGTCAGTTCAGATTTAATGCACCACGAAAAATGACATGTTTAGAAGGCTGCCCAGTACTACATGGTGTCAGGAGTGACATCAGAATAGAAGATTGGCTAGGAAGTGTATAGAAGTGGTAATATTTACCAGCTGCCTTAGAAAGTTTAAGTCACAGTATAAGGTAGTTCTAGTTGTCTGATTCTATCTGAAATTTGGAATATTTTCCATCTATTGCCTGTTTTAATTGTAGCACAGGTTCAGTGAAGGCACCATCATTGGTATGCTGTACATAGGGTATATACAAGGGTTGCAATTACCAAAGTCATTAGTATCAACTCTTGATCTGCTTTTTTGCGGAAGGAGGGATTGAATCCTTTCTCCATAATTCTGACTTTAAGACTACCAAATTGAGCCAGCTGCAGAGCTAGAATGATGCAACAAAGCAGCCAGAAGATAGAAAGATAACTTTGGTACAGTAATCCCTATTAGCTAACCTACCATGTCCTCCATCTATTTAATCTTTGCTCTAGAATTCTTTTCCCATTAACAGTAAACTTCAGATTTTAAAATGCCTGCAATGGAAGGAGAAAAAAAAAAAGTCTCCTATGAGAAAAAACCTATGAGAAAGAGTGCAGTTGGAAAAAAAAAAAAAAAAAAGAACAACTATCAGATGATCACCATAAGAAAATTCAGTTCTTCCAGCAATGCTGGAGAGATGGGGTTTAAGTATGCTCTCCACTCCACCCCCTAGTCACATTATATGGGATGGCAGTGCTTTCAAGTAGCTCATGCAGGTAAATATATCCTATCTAGACAGGTTTCCTATCTTTAGGCCCTTTTTAAAAATCATTTACTTTTAAATAATGTTGCATTCATGAAAGCCAGAGAAGGAGTGTGATTAAGGTATTAAGCTGGTTTATAGGAGACCCAGGTTCAGGTACCTACTCGACCAGATTCAGAACAGTAACTCAAAACTGGGTCTGCATCATCTCAGCCCATCATTCACTCCAACAACAAAACCTACTATCCCTCTGCTCCCCCAACCTCTCAGTCTAGTTCAATATGAAATTGAGAATCCACTGAATTCTCATATTTTGGGGGAAATAGGGAAAACTATTTCCTACCCAGTTCTATTCATTTATCTAAACTACGTGGAGGGGATATGACATTGTCCGTTTTAGTGGCTGGCGATATACTAATCTCTGATTCAGTGATGTAAAACTAGAGTATCTCCAATGTCAGTGAAGTTACTGGTTATTGTATTTTGAAAGTGGTATAGATATAGTCTATAAAGGTGCATATCACAAGCTTTCACAAACCTAAATTCATTTTGTCAGATGTTGTGAAAGGACAGCATAGAGCAGAGTATGAAGTGGAGTAAGTGATCACTGATGATTAAAATACAATAGGTGGGAGAGCAGGAGGGAAGGGAATGGGGAGGTGGAGAGGAGTCATCCTGTAAGAGGCATTATAAGCAAACAACACATAGGAACAAAAAGGGGCAACAAAAGCTAATCCAGGTAATGGGAAAAGAATCTCTCTTTAAACCATACCTATCATTTGTAGATTGTAGGTTGATTTCTTGTTCTGCAATATCCTGTTCAAACTGTTTTTAAAAAATGTTTTCTGCCTTAGAACAGCAGTCCCGAGGTTAGCCATGAAGTGTCCATGGAGGCTGAGTGTGTTCTGCCACAGGTTTGTGTGTCTTTCTGCAGTTGATGCTGTATCAGTGGCAGACCATATTTGTATACATCTTAGAGAGTCTATTCAGGCAGTGCTGAGAGAGTCAACTGACTTCGTGGTATCATCATCTCCCTGATTCCTGCTAATCTTTTTCCACTCCACAGGTGTCAATGACCTCCTGTCCCTTTTAACTATCTTGATAGTCCACTATTCAAAACTACCTATTCTTCTGGGTCAGTTAGCCATTCCTGGTAATCTCTCTCTCCTATTTCACAGCCCTAAAGACTGACTATAACAAAAAAACTTAACCGACACGTGGCAATATTAACTCAGGTATAGACGTGATTGACAGTGAAGTACTGGATACACTGTCAAGATGCTCAAGAAGGCTAAATTTTTGTTTCTGAATCTGAATAAGAGATATACATTCAACTATAACAGGGATGGCTCAAACTCTGCCCCCTGGGCCAGATCTGCTCTGCAGTGCCATGGCTCCCCACAGGTCCAGAAAATCGGTGGCAAGGCAATGGTGCCACTGCTTCTCTGCTGCCAAATTCCAGACCCATTGGAAGCCCTGGGCCCTGTATTCTGGATTGGCACCTAATTCCAGTATGCAGGGCTGGTTGGGGATGGCACCAGGACCCAATCCTGGCACACAGGGGGGCAGGAGGGGGCAGCATTGGGTCCCCAGGGCCCAATCCCCATGAGCAGGGCAGAGAAGAGGCAGTGCGAAGCCCCAGGGCCCCATCTGGCCCAGATAGGCCCCATACCACTGAACTATAATGATTACAGGAGTAACAACACAATATCTTTTGACTATTTTATGCCTAGTGTATTTTTTTTTCTTAAACTTTATATATGCTCTAGCAAATTAGTGCACACTCCAACAGTTATTTTTGTCTTGCTCTTAACCTGAATAATATGGTGCTAGCCCCCTAGCATATTAGTAAAGCTTCTAGTTTCTTAAAGTGGAGAAAAATGTGCATTGTGTTTTATGTGATGTGCCACACCCTCTGCACTCCCCTTTTCAAAATCCTGGATTCAACCATGTACCCACCCTCACCAACACTCTGCAGGGCAGTTCAATTCTACTGCGAATAAAGGCCAGCTTTAAGTAACTCCTTTAACAAAGACAGGAGTTTTCAAATTGTGAAGCGAGAGATTAATTGCTACTTTTAAGCCTTCCCAAGCAATGAGCATCTGTAAAGAATTTCAGATTTGCTGCAATTTTAAAAGAATTTCATTTTCTACCTCTAAGAACCAACCTAATACAGACCAAGTGACTGAAAGATGAAGGGAGGTGATCACAATTACAGCAACAAATGTAGGCACCGTACTTCTCCTTAACACACAAATATGGCCAGCAGGAGCCATTTGTTTTCATCAAATTTTACACACCCATCCACCCACTCACCAATCTGTAATCATGTTCAGCCTAAAAGCAATTTCCCTGGTACATGTTGTATACTATCATCATGTGTTAACTTTTTGGCAATTTTTCCAAAGCTCCACAGAATTGCTTTTTTTTCCTTTTTAGAAAATGCAATTTTTTTGTTACGAGTAAAATGCACTAATCCCAGTTTTAATTATGGTTTCACACATCTGAAATAAGAGTTTCATCAAACAGAATATTATTTAGATGCACTGACATGAGATAAAAGTAAAACAATCAACATTTCTGAGCCTATATTACATATCATTCTTTGTACACCAATAGTTAGGTAGGATGCTGACTTGAAACTGCAATGTAATATGCCCAGGAGTATATTTAAAAGAACAAAAAAAGTCTCACCATTACTAATTCAGAGAAATGCACACAACTGCCCCATCCCAGCCAAGTCAGTCTGATCCTATCAACAGTGTTCTATGGCGGGGACGAGACGGGACGGGATGGGACAGGACAGTGCATTACCAAGTCTTCAAAAACCTAAAGGGCAATTACAGAGAGGGTGGAGATGGGCTTTTCTTTGTGACCATAGGGGACAGGACTAGGAGCAATGGCTTCAAGCTGCAGCAGAGGAAATTTAGGCTAGAGATTAGGAGAAACTTTCTGACTATGGGGGTGGTCAAGGATTGGAAAAGGCTACCTAGAGAACCTGTGGAATCTCTATCCTTGGAAATGATCAAAAGAAGGTGAGACACTTGGCTGAGATGGTTCAGTCATGGATGAGTCTGTCTTGACCAGGGGGCTAGGCTAGATGATCTCATGGAGGTCCCTTTCAGTCTTACCTTCCTATGATCTTACAAGCACATTACAATAAGGCATAGCAGATATCAAAGTGCTATACCAGACAATCTGTTCAACCAGATCAATTGTACTAAACAAGCACCTCTCTCAATACCTAATGCTTCAAAAGACCACAATCCACTGTCTTTATATGCACTGTGCCAAACAGGTAATGTGATATCAGAGCCTAAAAGAATTATTTCTGACCTTCAAAAGAGACCACTTTAAGGCCCCCAAGTTAGGTTACTGATACTTAGTTCTTTAGCAAAGAAACAGATGTTACTTGTATTTCTATACACTAGCATGCCAGTAATATCATGGTAGTCCAACTAGAGGCCCCTGGGCCAACGGATTAAGTTGAAGCCCCCAAGGCTCCTGCCTGGCTGCCACTCCCCCATCATTCTGGCTGAAACAGAGGCTTCCTTCCCTGGATGCCACTTCCTGCCTCTGCTTCAAGAGGGCAGTGCAGCGTGGTGAGTGGCATAGGGAGTGTGCTCAGGGTGGGCACACCTTGTGCAGCAATGGGGTCATGACCACAAAGGCACATTTTTGAGTGTGTGGTGGGGAGGGAGAAATCATGCTTGCATGCTCCCAGGGATGGGGGAGTAGAAATTGAACTTGTGTATCCACATGGTGCAGCAGCGGAGGGGGATTATACCCACATGGACACATGGTGCAATGAGGTAGGCTGGGGTGGAGTATCTGTGCAGAACGGTAGTCTGTGACTCAACTGGCGTGGCATGCATGACACATGGTTCCCACTGGTGTGGCCTCTGGGAAGTTGGACAGCTTGCAGTGTATTTGAAAGCAATGGCATGGAACATTTGGCCCCATAGGCTAGATCCTGCCTGTGGAGCTGCTATATCTGGCTTACCAGGTTACTGGTGGGCCACTGGAAGTTAGGGAGACCCCCCCTCACAGCCACCAGAATCACCCTCACTCCTACTTGCTGCCATAGTGGCCACAGCAGCTATTTCTATGCCTTGGACTGGATCCAGCCCATGAGGAGTCCCACAGTCTAGATCTGGCCCAGGGCCCCAGGTGACCAAGACTGACATCCATGTTAAAGTACTGAAGTAACACCAAGGGTTTCCTCCAGCAGAGAATATATTTTCATTAGTCATAGTCAATGTAGTTTTCTCAATTCTGGCTAGCCTCCCAACAGATTATGAGGAAGGGAGGAAAGTTCTTGATTAATTTTTGTTAAACAACTGACACACAGGCTCTCTCAATTTAGAATACCATTATGCAGAACAGAGATACTATTCAATAATTTGAAATTATACTCATTTTTCCTTCACATCCTCTAATGCTTCTTATAAGTTGCTTGCCCTTCTCTAAACATTACTATTGTAACAGGTCCTTTCCAAGATAATGTAATAAAAAATAAGATGATACTTGTGGTTTAACTGGCCTTGTTTTTCTTTACCGATCGTTAGACAAAAGCTTTTGTATCTAATGCTTCATGATCAATTTCCAGTTACTATATCTGTTCCAAGAAAACAAATATGAAAGGAATGTTTGCGAAAGGGTAATGAAGACAAGGGTTGAAAAAAGGAAGAGAGAAATATCAGAATTAAAGTATCTTTAATATGCACACACAAAAAACCAGACAGATGCACATACACACACACAAAACATTCAACTTAAATACAGAGACCAATAATTAACATTTCAGTCAGAAAAACAAGAGTGAGGCTGCTAACTAAGCAGTCTGAGCTCTGAAGAGCACAAAATAAACTACTCACCCATTGGCCAGTTGTCATATACATGCTTTGCGATATCTGCAGCTGAGTCGTTTGGTGAAAACAAGAACTCTTTCGTTTTCCCACTTACCAAAATGAGGCGCAAATTTATCTGTAAAGAAAAAGACAACATTAGGAAGGGAGCAAAACACAAATAAACTATTTAATTATACAAGTATAACAACTTTATATTTCTTCACTGATTTAGCGTCAGTCATAAGTGTGGTCTAAAGGGGGGGGAAAAGCCAAGCAAGCACAATGTTTTAATACAGCAGTAAAATGCACAAAAAAAATGTTAGACAGGAGGGAGATATCATAGATGAATCAATACAATAACAGTTAAATTAACAAAAATATTTAAAGGTTCTTAAAATGTGACCATTAAAATGCAGAGATAAAAAACTGTATTTAACAAACAGAAAGTATCACAAAAACAAATAAGTTCAGCAAGAAATCATATCACTTAATACTCATCTTCTCCAGTCCGTTACTTTTTTTTTTTTTGTAGATAAGGAAGACAAGTCAGTCAACAATTTCTTAATGTGGGCAACTAAAACTGAAATCCTGCTTCTAAAAATTCAACTTGAGCTCTTCTTCTGAGGCCCCTCTCCTCACACACATATCTGGGGACCTGGACTGTGGGTTTTACTACAGGGATTTAATACAAAATCAAAAGAGCCTCCTGCCTGGTGTCTTATGCATCTTGGGACTCTGAATCCTTTAAATCTTCCCAACTCACCAATTCACTTTTCTCCCAAGGAGAATAACTAATTCTTCTTCTTTTGTATGGCTGACTTGGAGCAATAATTATAAATCCAGTTTAAGATTAGTTAACCAGTCTAATGGTCTTGAGGAAAGGGAATGTAGTTCTGCAAATGTCACCATCAAATTTGTATAGAGGGCAGTGTTGTTATGTGGTCCATAGTTCGATCAGGATTGCCAAAGTCACATTTTGCAGACCTTCTAATACACCATTAGTGCATCAAGTGACTGCAGCAGCCATGCCTGGTTTGGAACGGATTTTGAGCCTTTCGTGTTTCTCACAGAAGGTCAAAACCAGGAGGTGTTATTGTTGGGTCAGAAATTAGATGTTTATTCCAAATGGTGGTTTCATTCTATGGTTTCCTGTTGCACTGTCATGTCCTATGAGGGCCCATAAACTTTAATAACTAATTATTACACTACCTTAGAATCTTAGTGACACCATAATTCTGCCTTATCTCTTTTATCCAGATTCTGAAGTCATGCAATACCACATAGAGCAACTTATTCACATATTATCCCTGCCCATTCAGTTCAAGCATTACTGCATCCAACACTAGAATATTTTACATGTTGTTTTCATTAAAGCCTGTTTTCTATTCTCAAACAAATTTTTTTATAACATTTCTGTTCAAGTCAGTCATGCTCCAGCACTATTATTTACAATCAAAAGCGACTATATGCCTCATGCCTACTGATTTCTATGGAAGTCAGCAACCTAAATATCTATATACACATTTGTTCTAGGAGTTTAAGTCCTATTGATTTTCAGTGTAGACATCATTTTGTTGGTGCCCATAAGCATGTTGCTCGCAAGCACTTTTTGCTACCCACCCAATCCAGAAATGAGGCCTGGAAGTCGCAGTGAAGTCATACTCCTCCCCTGGCATTGCCCTCAAGATCCATCTTAGCACAGTCAGGAGTACAGAAGCAGTGTAGATACTTATGTCACTTTGCAAGTAGGATTCAGGTGCCAGCTACATTAGAGGCCAATTTTGTATAAATTCAGGGAAAAGGTTACTGTAATCCACTATAAAAATGCTTCAAGAAAAGCTACCAAGAGAGAGGGGGGGGGGGTGTGTGTGTGTGTGTGTGTGTGTGTGTGTGTGTGTGTGTGTGTAAAATGTTTTGATTTTTGTCTCAATGAGTATCACTGAATGAGCAGAAGCTTAAATTCAGGAAAGCGTTTTTGGTTTTTTTTAAATGTGAAAATTAAACACAAGTTTGTGCTAACAACTTGTGCTAACAACTTGGACTATCATGTCCAAGTTGTTAGCACATCCCTGCAAACCAAGATTGCAGATCAAGTCAATAGGACTGACATTTTCCTACTGCCAAATGTACTGCATGCTTCCTAAAATATGTTGAGGACAACTCCTCTGTTCCTCAGCAGCTCTCTACATATGTTGTTCCTATCTGCTTAAGCACCATATGAATTTAAGTCCTTCATGGTTGCACACACAGGTGTGGCAGATGTACAACTATTAGGAATATAGTTACTCCATCACTTGCTACCTCACAGCCCAAGATCCATGAAGCAATAATTTGAGTATCATGTGTAACAATAAAAAGTGATGCTCTGCTGGATTCTAACCCATGCCTTCAATGGGTAAAGACTCCCTTGTTATGCTGAAAATGGGAGCTCAAGGACAGGTTGTAGCTGAAAGCTCTAAGACCTGGGGTGGGCTTCACCTTTCCCCCAAAGGTGTGTTCTCTTCTAGGTTGGTGGATCTCCTCCGACGGGCTTTAAAACTAGGCTCGTTGGGGGATGGGGAAGATGAGGGCGGAGGAAGCCTTGAACCAAAAAACCAAGAGATACCCAAGAGAACAGCCCAGCCTGGAGCAAACGACGAGCAGAATGAATACCCAGGTAAGCAACTGGGGCCCGGGCAGTACTGAGATTAGGGGGCCAGTGCACACATCTTCAGGAGGCCTCAAATGCCTCTGCATAAACACTCATAGTATGGGGAACAAGCAGGAGGAACCTGCCTCCTGCTAGCTGACACCAAGCCAGACATAGTGGGGTTCACAGAAACATGGTGGGACCCAACACACGACTGGGCGGTGAATATCAAGGGCTACAGGCTGTACAGGAGGGACAAGACAGGGAGGAAAGGTGGGGGAGTGGCGCTCTACATCAAGGAGGAATACACATCCTCATCTAGTAGCACAAGGTCAGGTGAGGGGCACACTGAAGTGCTCTGGGTTAGAATACAAGGGAGTCAAGGGGAAAGGGACTTAATGGTGGGGGTCTACTACAGGCCACCCAACCAAGGGGAAGAGCTAGACCGGGAATTCTTAAGTCAGCTCACGGAGGTAGTTAGGTCAAAAGACATGGTCATCATGGGGGACCTGAACTTTCCAGACATCTGCTGGGAAGAGCAGTCAGCCAGGTCTGACCGTTCACGTAGGTTCCTAGCCGAGATACAGGACCTCAATCTAGCTCAGGAGGTGCACAGCCCCACCAGGGGAGACGCCTTGTTGGATCTGGTGCTGGCCACAGGCGATGACCTCGTGAGGGGGCTGCGGGTGCTCGACCACCTGGGCGACAACAATCATTGCCTGCTGGAATTCACCATCCAGCACAAGGTGGCAAAAGCCTGCAGCAAGGCAGCAGCCCTGGACTTCAGGAGGGCGGATTTCAATGAGGTAAGAAGAATAGTTGGGGAAGTACTGAGGTCCCGGAGGGGAGGGGAGTCAGGTGTCCAAGAGGAGTGGTTGTTCCTTAAGGAGACAATCCTCCATGCCCAAAGGGAGGTAAACCCAACCATGATCAAAGGGGGCTAGAGGGCGCAAAAGCCCCCATGGCTCACCAAAAGCATATGGGAACATCTCCTAGCTAAAGGGGAGGCGTACACCCAATGGAAGGGAGGGGCCACCACCAGGGAGGACTATACCTCGGTTGCTTGGGGCTGCAGGGGGGCGGTCAGGAAGGCCAAGGCAGAGATGGAACTGGGACTAGCTACCTGGATCAAGGACAAGAAGAAGTCCTTTTTTAAATACATAGGGGGCAAAAAGAAGGTACTGGGTAACGTGGGGCGTCTGCAAGACATGCTAGGAAATCTGGTTGTTGCAACAGATGACAAGGCTAACCTATTTAACTATTTCGTTGCCTCCATTTTCCTGAGCAGGGACCAGATCAGCCCATCTGCCGAGACCCCCTCAGACCCCGGGGGAGACGCACACAGGCCTAGGGTCAGTGAGGATTTAGTCAGGGAACTTCGAGGGACTGGACGTATTTAAATCAGCTGGTCCTGACAACCTCCACCTCAGAGCGCTGAGGGAATTAGCAGAAGTCATTGCAGGACCCCTGGCATGGCTTTCCGAGTGCTCGTGGTGCTCTGGTGTGGTGCCAGAGGACTGGAAAAGGGCCAATGTGGTTCCCATTTTCAAAAAAGGGAGGAAGGAGGACCCGGGGAACTATAAGCCAGTTAGTCTTACCTTGATCCTGGGTAAGCTTTTTGAGAGAATTATCCTGGTGCATGTCCACGAGGGGCCAGCGGGGGAGGCTGTGCTTAGGGGCAACCAGCATGGGTTCATTAGAGGCAGGTCCTGTCAGACCAACCTGGTAGCCTTCTATGACCAGGTCACAAAAGCCTTAGATGCAGGGGTAGCAGTGGACGTAGTCTTTCTGGACTTCAGGAAGGCCTTCGACACTGTCTCTCACCCCATTCTCATTAAAAAACTAGGGGACTGTGGCGTTGACACCTACATAGTCAAATGGGTCACTAACTGGCTGGAGGGCTGCACTATCAGTGACTTGGACGAGGGGGTAAAAAGCACCCTATTCAAATTTGCTGATGACACTAAGATGTGGGGTGATGTGTGCACTCTACAAGGGAGGAATAGGCTGCAATTAGACCTAGACAAGTTACATGGGTGGGCAGATGAGAACAGGGTGGGTTTCAACACTGACAAGTGCAAGGTGCTGCACCTTGGGAGGAAGAACCAGCAGCATACCTACAGGCTGGGAACTCCCTTCTCATCAGTGCAGAGGCAGAAAAGGATCTTGGAGTCATTATTGATGCCAAAATGAACATGGGCCGACAGTGTGGGGACGTGATCAGGAAGGCCAACCACACCTTGTCATGAATACACAGATGCATTTCAAGTAGGTCCAAGGAGGTGATCCTCCCCCTCTATGTGGCACTGGTCAGGCCGTAGTTGGAGTACTGCGTCCAGTTCTGGGCGCCGCACTTCAGGAGAGATGTCGACAGCATTGAGAAGGTTCAGAGGAGGGCCACACGCATGATCAGGGGGCAGCAGGGCAGGCCCTACAAGGAGAGGCTAAGGGACCTGAACCTGTTCAGCCTCCACAAGAGAAGGCTGAGGGGGGATCTAGTGGCCTGT